TTTCACAAGGAAATAGCTAATTTGGAAGCAGATTTGCAGTGCAAGCTGAGTCTTCCCAATTCACCTCCAAATTATATCTTATCTATTGGAGATTGGTCGAATAACTAAGTTACTAATTTTGAGCCCTCCAGCCAAATAGCCCCAGCCTTATCCTGCTCCCACTTCTGAGAGAGAGAGCTGGGGGATTTGTAGAATCGAAGTCTGCATATCTTCACATTGTCAAGGTTGAGGGATACCCTCATGAGTCTGGAAGCACAAAGAAATAAAGAGGAGAAAGGCATTTCACTCATTCAGTCCTAAAATCTTTATTTAAGGAGATTTTTCACCACTCACAGGCCTTCGAGACTGAGGTTTGTATATATCTGCATTTGGACCGAAACAAAATTGCGTGCAAGATCACATTTGCATTGCAAGCGAAACAATTATGCACGCAAAAACACACATGTTTGCACGTGGGGGAAAGCCCTTTTCATATGGGGAAAAAATTCTGAAGAATTACATTGGCTTGATATATTTTCCCTCCTCACATCCTACAGATATTTCTTACATCGAGAGAAAAAAATCGTTCTTGAGATAGCATGTAATGGTTAAGGCCCAAAAAGTATTTGCACTGGGCCAAATTAACTTTCTTTTCCAATGCCATTCCTGTGGGGTTTAGTCAATGAAATTAACATTTTACTCCATTTTTTACTACCAAGGGGAAATTTCTTGATGGGTGAGGACAATTAATCAGTGGAACAACTTGCCTCCAGAAGTTGTGGGTGCTCCAATCACTGGAGGTTCTTAAGAAGAGACTGGATACCCGTTTGTCTGGAATGGTATAATTTCCTGAGTAGGGGGTTGGACTAGACGACCTCCGAGATCCCTTCCAGCTCTAGGATTCTACGTTGAGTATACAGTTGACCCTTTCAGTAAGGCCATTTCTCCAACCCCCCCAGCCCCAAGGTCCCGGGGGGGGGGGGGCACCACAGTCAGGACAAAACTACCCCTGTGTGCAAATCCCTCCAGGAATTCCAAGCCCTTGTTAATACCATCAGAAATGTTCCGAGGAAGGAGACACAGGCTGCCTGTGCGGTTCCAGGACAGAGTGGTCGGAGGGAGGGGCGGGGGCAAGGGGGAAACAGGAACAGACTGGACCATGTACAGGTACTCCTCGACTTACGCCCAAAATTTCCCTTGCTAAGAAAGGCCTTTGTTGAGCTCTGCCCCGTTTTACAAACTTTTTGCCGCCCTTGCCAAGCGAATCGCTTGCCGTTGTTAAGTGAATCATGCAGTCACTGAGCAAATCCGGCTTGTCGGAAGCCAGCTGCGAAGGTTGCAAATGACGATCACTTGACCCCAGGAAAACTGCAACTGTCCTAAATATAACTGGGTGCCCGAATTTTGATTATGCAAAGCTTCAGAGGTCCCAAGTGTGAAAAGCCCGACCACAAATTACTTTTTGCAGTGATGTTGTAATTTCAAACGGACACTAAACCAACGGTCGTAAGTTGAGGACTACCTACACAACTGAATCCCTGGGTCATTTGCCCTTCCTTGGCTTCTTGTTTGGATATCCTGAGCTCTTTTGGTGAATTCAAGGGCGTTACAGCTTCCCACACCCAACCAGCTCCTAATCATATTAAAATATATATTTTAACTATAAATTAGCAGCATATGGGAGATTCTACTAAACTTATATACCGCTTCATAGGGCTTTCAGCCCTCTCTAAGCGGTTTACAGAGTCAGCATATCGCCCCCAACAACAATCCGGGTCCTCATTTCACCCACCTCGGAAGGATGGAAGGCTGAGTCAACCCTGAGCCGGTGAGATTTGAACAGCCGAACTGCTGAACTGCAGTCAGCTGAAGTAGCCTGCAGTGCTGCATTTAACCACTGCGCCACTTCGGCTGGTAGAGGGTTTCTTGCCTGAGCAAGGGGTTGGACTAGAAGACCTCCAAGCTCCCTTCCAACTCTATTCTACTCTGCTCTGCTCAATTCCATTCCATTCCAAACAAAATCAAGAGGAGAAAGAAATATATTCAGCAGCCACTATTACACTAGCTAAGTTGAAATCAAACAAACCATGTTAAGAGCTAAAGATGACACACAAACAGAACAGGACAATTAATCAATAGAAGGGCTCGCCTTCAGAAATCCTGGCTGCTCCATCACTGGAGGTGTTTAAAGAAGGAACTGCATAGTTGCTTGTCTGAGATTGTATGGGGTCTCCTGCTTGAGAGGGGGGTGGGCTAGAAGCCCCCCGTGGTCCCTTCCAGCTCTATTCCGATTCTGAAAACCACAGGCTTGCCACGTGAGTTTGTGTGTGGTGTATAAAAATCTCCCTTCTCCATGAATTCTTCCTTGGTAGATTTTGAATGAGACACTATTGCCCTCTGCTGATCAGAAGGTATTTTACAGGAAGTTCAGTGCTGGGACTTTTCACACAACGTTGCAACTTTACAGTGGTACCTTGGTACTCAAATTGCGTTGAAACTCATCGAATTCGGTACATTTTGTACTCATTGTTTCTTTGGTACTCAATGCGCAAGCCACAACTTGTCAGTGTGGGCTGCCTTGTGACTCAGTATCTTATTCCTTAAGGGGGAAAGAAATCTGTGTGGTGCTCTTATTTTTCTGCTTGGGGATAAAGATAACATATACAGGATTGCTGCACAAGCTATCAAAAGTTCCTACTCAAGATTGTTTTATGAATGACGCAAGCAATTAAATATGACTCAACAGTTTGAGGTGACAGCCAAAAATGCCAATGCAATCCTAAATTGCATTAACAGAGAGATTCAATCAAGATCAAGGGAGGTTACTAATACCACTCTATAAAGACTTAGTAAGACTACATCTGGAATGTTGCATCCAGTTTTAGACACTATAAAAAAAGATGTTGAGACTCTGGAAAAAGTGCAGAGAAGAGCAACCAGGATGATGAGGGGACTGGAGGGTAAAACATACGATGAACGGCTGCAGGAACTGGGCATGGCTGGTCTAGTGAAGAGAAGGACCAGGGGAGATGTGAGAGCAGCCTTCCAATATTTGAGGGGCTGCCATAGAGAGGAGAGGGGGGGGGTGTCAAGTTAATAAATCCAATAACAAACAAGTTATTTTCCAAAACACCTGAAGGCCAGAAAAAGAAGAATGGATGGAAACTGATCAAGGAGAGATTCAATCTGGAAATAAGGAGGAATTTCCTGACAGTGAGAAGAATCGGTTCCACCACAAAACCGCGAATGACAAAATCGCGCTCGACGAAAGCGCGTACGTGACATCATCAGTGTGACGAAAACATCGCGCTGTGATCGATAAATGTAAAAATAAAGCGAAAACCTTACCCTAACCCCCCCAAACCTAACCCTTAACCTAACCCTAAATCTAACCCTTAACCTAATGCTAAACGTAACCCTAACACTCTAAACCTAACCCTAACCCTTAACCTAACCCTAACCCTTACCTTTATGTGAATCGGCTTGCTTTAATTTTATTTCAATTTTTAATTTTTTTCATCACGTTGTGATGATGTCAAATGCGCGCTTTCGTCGAGCGCGCTTTTGTGGACCGCGGTTTTGACGGGTCACGGAAGAATCGACCCATGGAACAGAATTTGTGGGAACTTCATCACTGGAGGCTTTCAAGAAGAGACTGGACTGTCAGAAATGATGGAGGGACTTCCTGCTTGGACAGGGGTTGGACTAGATAACCTACAAGGTCCCTTCCAACTCTTGTTATTCCGAACTTCCATCTCTTCTGTTGTCCCGTTATTGTTTCTTTCCTACTCTGGCACGTTTGGTTGAAGAGCTTCACAAACCCAAACAGAGAAAAAAATATTCCATTAAGGCGAAAGGAAAAAGGAGCCAGATTGTTTTCATTCAACATTTATTTTGTTTCCTTACTGTCTTCAAGGTGGTTCCCTATTGATACAAAGGTTAAGAGTCACAGACACAAGACAAATGGAAAAGAGGGGAAAAAAAGTAAAAGAAAGCACTCCTTGTCTAAATACAAAGAAGGGAAAAAACAAAAAACTCCACACGGTAAAACAAAAAGTGTGTATAGTGTTTTGCAAAAACACTTTCTACAAACTCAAGACCAAAAGAAAAAAAAACAAACCTCTTTATATCGCTTGAAACGCCTACCCCTCTATATATTTTTTTTAAAGTTTCGTATATAAAACCGGATCGTTTCAAAAGTGTCCCCCCCTTTGTTGGGTTCGGATTTTTTTTTCTTTTTTTTTTCTTCTTTATTTTTTTTTGCAATTCTGGAAACAAAAAAAAGTTTTACAAAAGAACATTATCCAGACGTCTTGCAGATTTCAAAGGTTTTGATTTCTTTCTGGATTATTATTTTTCTTTTTTCGCTTGTACATGATGAACAGCAATCAGACCTCCTGAACCTTGGAGAGCTACTATGATAGATTATCTAACATTTCTTCACATGTCCTAGCTACTACAAACAGGAATATTTGGGGGTTGGGGGGGAGAGGGCGAGAGAGAGAGAGAGAGAAAGAGAGGGGAGGGGGAGAAGGAAAACCTGGAGTGTATTCTAATACACAAGCAGGGTGGGGCTGCCAAGAAAAGGGGGTTTAAGTGTTGGAAGGGGAGCGGGAACTTAAGCACGTTCTCCCCGGATGCGGCGGGCCAGCTGTATGTCTTTTGGCATGATAGTGACCCGCTTGGCATGGATGGCACACAAGTTGGTATCCTCAAACAGGCCCACAAGGTAGGCCTCGCTGGCTTCCTAAGGGATACAGAAAGGAACAATTAGAAAAAAGGGACTGATCGTTACACAATCGAAGTCGGGATGGGATGATACATTCAATAGCAGTTCAATAGCAGTTAGACTTTTATACCCCCTCATAGGGCTTTCAGCCCTCTCTAAGCGGTTTACAGAGTCAGCATATCGCCCCCCACA